AGGATGTGCTGCAGAGCCCCAGCCCTGCCCAGTCCCCTCACTCACCCGTCCCTGTCTGCGGTGGGTTCACCAGGATCCACTGGGAGAGTTCTGCTGGAGACCAGCTTTCCTGAGCAGCACCCTCCTCCGCCCAGGTCACCTCATGGGGCTCTTCTGGAGAGCCGCTTTCCTGAGCAGCACCCTCCTCCTCCCAGGTCACCCTGGGCTTGCTGGGGGGTCTCTGCTCCATCCTACTAGATAACTACTAGAAGTAGGGAAAGGGGAAGTGGGAAGCTTTATGAAAAACCTATCACACTAGGGGCCAACAGGGAAAGCCTGGAGCTGTGCTCAGAAGATCCTCGCCAGCTCCGTGCTCCCGTCCTGTCGCGTCGCTGTCCTGCCGGACAATGGTGCTGGCACTGGGGCTGTGCTGACCACGTGTGCTGTGGTGCGATGTCACAAAGGGCCCCCCTGTGACACACCACCTGACGCCTAGCAGTGTTCCAGCGCTCGTGGACGTGGAACCAGCCCCTAGCAACGGGTCCCAACGATGCAGAAAATTATGCTACATTGGCCCCAAAACCCCAAAGCCCACAAATTGTTGTTAGTAGACACGCTGTTCCAAAAAAATAAAGGAGCGTTGGAGGTATAACATTGGGTGCTAGTGGTGTTTTTTGTAAAGGGAGTACCTTTAGTGGACCCCCACCATCTCGTCTTTGAAGATGGTAACACCTTATCCCACTGTCTACAAGCAGTAGATATCCCCTGCTATACTATACATGAGGTCAGCTTTTCTCTGTATCTTCAAAGGAAATACATCTCTTGGTTCAAAGTCATAGTGATTGATTCTTTTCAGCTGACCACCTCCTTGAGGCTTTTCCAGGACCCAGCTCAGGAGAGAGCTGCTAGAAGTCCAACTGTGTGATTTCAAGAGCCAGATTGGTTCCTGAGACCTTCCATAATCACTTGAGGCATTGTTGGTTAAATTCTGCCATAACTACTCACATTGTTAGTATGAAAAAGGAAGAATGGGAAAATTTTTGGTTTTCATGGAGTAAGCTGGGCAAATGAAAGAAGGCAAAAGCATGTATATAATTTAAAGTGACTGCTGAAGTATGTAAATATTAATTCTAGTCATGTTTGCTGGGTGTGCTTCTCGCACAGGAACACCATAGCTGGGGCTGGGGACAGCACTGAGGGCAGCGACCAGGAATGGGGGGGATGCCCTTCCATCCTGCTGAGATCTGAAGTGGTTTCCACGGCTGTAGTCAATATAGGAGACAGCGTCCTGGTGAGGTTGGCACGCCAGACAGTTTCTATGGTGTTGGCTAAAGAAAGCAGGACACCTAGTTTTCTTTAGGTGTCTGTGCTGTTTCTGAGCAGCAGTAAACGAGGGCTGGGACTGATGTGGCAGAGGGGCGGGTGATGGGGTTGTTGTGGCTCCGTTCCTCAGGAGCTGAGGGTGCCCAACACAGGGTGTGTACTCGGATCAGAGCAGAGGGGTTTGTGGCCCCGCTCTCTATGGTGAGCCTGGGGGGTGAGCTCCCCCTGGGCCAGGCTGATGAGAACAGAGGTGTTGTTTGTGGAATGGCAGCAAGCGGGGCCGCGAGATGCGGGGCGCCAGCAGCCACCTCAGGGGGGGCTGAACCCCGCTGTGTATCAGTGCAGGCAGGCGAGGGTACGAAGAGATGTCTGGAGAAGGGTCTGGCAGAGAAGGCGGCGCTCGGACCGAGCGGGGCCGGGGCTGGGCTGGGGCGGGCTGAGGTGGGCTCGGCCCGGCCTGGTGGGAGTGGAAGGGGGCGGTGGCCGCTCCCGCTCCCGCCTCTCCCTGAGGAGCGAGCGGGCGGCCATGTTGTGCGGGGGGCGGGGAGGAAGGAGTTGAGAGGAGATGGCGGTGGTTCCCTCACACACACGGCACAGGATGGCCGGGGAGCAGCGGCCGCTCGCTCTGGGGACACCCGGCCGGCGCCCCGGGTGCCGCGCTCGAAGGCCGAGTCGGGCCCGGCACTCTGGGGGCTCCGTGGCTGCGGAGGGCGGCGAGCGGGGCTGCCGAGAGGGGCTGGGACGGGCGGGCAGCAATGGCGCCGGGGCTGCGAGCGCTGCCCGCGCCGCTCCCTCGCCGGGCGGGCGGGGGGCCGCCCTTGGCCGCGGGAAGGGCGAGCGGGGAAGCAGCGCCCCGTCCTCGGGGCCCCCGGTGCCGGCCAGCGGGCTGCTCTTCGCAGGGTGAGTGCCGGAGTCTCCGCGCTCCTCATTGTCCTTTGTCCTTGGGAGGAAAAACAAAATGTCCTGGGAGCCGGGAGGGGGAGGGGGCGCTGCCTCTCCCTGCCCCCCCCTCCCACCCCCCCCGCTCGCTGAGGGGACCCGCGGGGGCTCTCGGGGACCCCCCGCCCGTGTCCTGCCTGCGCGGGGTGAGGGGGAGCGGCGGGACCAGCTCTGCTGTTTTATAGTTAAGGTGTAGGAATTGGAATTTATATTTGGATACTTTTTAATTTAGCAATGAATGTTTTTTAAAATTGTGTCTTTACCGAATGATTCCAGACTTCTTCTTAAGTATGGAGTAGTGGTGATGATAAATATAAATAAAATACTATTTTTGCCTTCACAAAAGGCGAGAAAAGTTGGCTAGAGGTAGTGCAAATATAGTGTTCCTTGTGTTAAAGACCATGGTTTGGGATCTGATTAAAGGTTAAAGAAGTTGAAGGCTTTAAAACTGTATTCTGAAGGGTAAAAAAGATGCGTTTTTTGGGAAGATCAAGCAAGTTAGGACTTAAAATTCAGAGAAGCTGATGACAGAAGCCATTTTGAAATAACTTTGCTATCACTAAAGGTTTTTATTTAATTTTGCATAGCCTACTTCTAAAGACTTTAATGTGAAAAAAAAGCACAAGGGGTGAGGGGTATTGAGTGATAAGTTACTCAATAAAAAAATGTTAAACTTGCATTTGATCTCTAAGTCTTTCAAAATTATAGTAATGGAAGACAGAAGAGCAGATCGCAGTTAGTCATGAAAAACACAGATCATGTGTGTTGTGTGTCAGCCACTCTCATCTCCAGTGCGTTTTTCTTCAGCCAAGAATGTACTTTTACTTTTAGAGTTGAGTTCTAAAGATACAGTTACTGCTCTCATAAGTTTTTCTTGACTTAATAATTGCCTAAAGATCAATACATTTCAGGCATTTGACTTGTTCTGCTTTTCTAAAGGAAAATTTTTTATCCTTTTTTTTTTCCAGGTAGAATGCCATGAACAATACCTTATTTTCTGAGTGGCTTCAGAGGAATCGTTCGTGACTTATTTTCTCAAGTAGGAGTGGCTATAATTTGTGGTAGTATGTTCATTTCCTTATTTTTTTTTGATCTTAAAATTTGCCTTTTTGCTACTGTGCAGATGGGAAGAAAAAAAAGCATCTGATTTTTTATATGGAGGGGATACATTTTGTTAAGTATCTGGACTTTTAGAAAGCTTTTTTTTATTTTTTTTGCAGATAGAGGTAGACTGTCTTCAAATAATGTCATGTTTCTGTGCTACTTCTGTAGAAATTTGAGTTTCTCAAGGCTATTTGTTAAGTGGCTTGTTATTTTTATAATTGTGTATATAGATCCATATGCCTTGTATTTGTGGAAAAGGGCAGTATTTTCATATCAATCCATTTCATTCAATGTCCCATTTCACCAGTGAGAACCTGCATTAAACTTTGATTGTATTTTGTCCTTAATGAGTTTGTGGCATTAAGGGTTGGGGATATTGTAGAATTCGCATTTGACAACAGTACCAGCAGTAACAGGAGACTTCAGGTATTTGTAGAGGAGATTTTTGGGGCCTGTTTCTTGTTTTTGGGAACACAAAGGCTGATGTTGGCAAGGATAGAATATTGTTATTGTAGTGTAGGTCACATTTTTATGAATTGAAAGACACCTTCTGTGTTTTCAGCAAGTTTGTCAGTCAAGAACATCAGGACTGCAGGTGAGATCTGTCTCTACCTTGTTTTCAGACAAACCTGGGTTTGTTTTTTCTTTTTTTTCTTTGAAGGCTCTCACTGGATATTGTTCTTCCAAAGATTCAGATGACTGGTTGGGTAAAAGTCCTTGAGCAAAATTGTGTACTGTTTGTGCCAGGTATGTTATGCTGGGTTGTGGCTTTTTGTTTGTCCTTTTTTTTTAAATTACGCTGGAAATATTTTTTTTCCAAATAAGCATTAAACATTTAAGCTGCAGTGTTTTACCTTGTTGAATTTATTTTCTTTCAAGCTTAGTGCATTTGAAAACTGTTAGTAAGTACTGACTACAGCAATGTTCATGTCTCCTGCACCTTTGAAGATTTCTATGGTCACTCACATACAACTTTAACAACCTGCAGTGACCGTGGTGACACGTAGTAAAGCCAGGCTGTGCTCTGAGAATTGCCATCTCCTGAGGACATTGCCTAACCACACTTCAGAAGTGCTTTTCCTTAGTTCAGGGTATTCATTCATTAGCTAGGGACACTCATAAGCTTTTCCTTTCCAATCAATAGTTTCTACAATAAACTTAAAAATTCTCTTTCTGGTGTAAATTTGACTCTAAAGCCTAAAGTGTTATGAGCTGTCTTGCTCTCCTCCTTGCAGTATAAACAAATCAGCTTTCTAATGTTTATAATTTGTTTTTACACTTTAGGATTCTGCATTTAGAGTCAGAGTAACATGTTTCCTTTGAGTCAGGCTTTCCCCACTGTGTAATTCAAAGTTGGAGAGCTCGTTTGCCTCTCTGAACTGGTTCCTTTTCACAGCTTCCCATGCTCAGGTACCTCAGTGTGTGCTCAGGACCTCAAAGCACAAGGTGTCTTCGTGAAGACCCCTGTGTCAGGAATCTCAAAAACACTCTTGACAATTTGCTTTTTAAAATTACATAATTGATGGTGATAATTAAAGAATACAGTTGTGAACCCCCACCTGAGTGCAGCTGTTTTCTTTGGCTTGGATGAAGCCTTCAGCCCGTTCATGTAAAAAATCGTGGGCCAATTTTGCAAAGCTTTATGAAAATGTCTCTCCAGGTTGTACTAAACCATTATCTGCAGTGAGTCACTGCTGCTGTGCAAGGCAGAATTCAGATAATATTTACAGATAATGGACATGTCCATGATCATGGATGTCCTGCAGCAAACAGGGCTGATGTGCAAATGTGTGTGTCAGTGTGTTCTGGAACTTGGTTGTGAAACTGTCTGATGGGATCTGTGAGAACTAAGAGTTTGTGTTTAGAAATGATCTCATAAACAACGGAGCATATCTGAAATCCCATGTGAATTTTCAGTTTAGAGGATCAAACCCACAGATATTGCACAGTCTGTTACAATGAAGGCAAGACCAGTCTGATGATAATGAGGGGACTGAGCCCGTCGGACCCAAGACTTGTGTTCCTGATGTTAAATCCTGAAATGTCTAAAGCTGCAACTTTTAATTGACCTGCTCTTCAAAAAATAGCAAAATTAAAGATTAAAATTAAACCCTGCGGTGTCAGGAGCAGATCTTGGCTGACCTACATGTTCCATGCTAAATACAAAATTGAGCCCTTCAGCCTTAATGGTCTGCACCTTTCCTGTATTGTCCTGATGCTGTTTGTGCTGAGTAGGTATTAAAATAAAGGCAGTTTTACCTGTCCCTTGTTACTTTTCTGAGCTCTTTGGAGCTGCCTTTTCTTGGAAGAGCAATATCTGTTTATCTGGCACATGGCAGCTTGATCTCTACGTTAGGTGGACCTCAGTAGGTTAGATGCACACTGCTGGGACTTGAGGGAAGTTTTAACTTTCTGGCTGCCCTGCAGCTGCTCATGAGGGTTGGGGGCGTCAGGAGAACCTCTGTGGTTGAGTCCCAATAACCTTTTCAGCAGAGGAAGCTGTTCCTCTGGGGATATGAAGCCATGTGAAGTATTCTTCTAGAATTGCTTTTTGTAGCTTTGACATCTTCCATGGAAGAGCACTGGTGTGGTGATACACGTCATCTTTGCCAAAATCCTGATTAATCCCAAGAGAGAATCTGATATCAGGTAATAGCTTTTGGGTGTCTGACCTCAACTCTTGCTGTAAAAAGGAGCTACACTGTGCTGGTGGTTGGAGCCAGCAGTGCCAGTCTTGGGGTGAAGGAGCCGTGGCCCTTTGGTTCAGGGTGTGTTCTGTGTGCCAGAGGCTGTGCTGTGCTTACAGCAGCTGTAATTTTAAAGTCAATATAAGCCACAGCTGTTAGACTACCTAAAAAAAGTAATGTCATGTTTATTTTTAGAGAGAGATGGATTTTTTTTAATGGGCTACAACAATTACTGCAAATAGTCTGATTAAAAGACTTTGATGTTTATTAACTATAGGAAATACAGGTGTTGACCTGAAAGGTTAATTCTTTTTCAGCCCAGACTTGTATGTCCAAGCTCTGTGGTTTGTGGCTCTGGGCATAAACTCCAGCTTTTGTGATTAATTCTGTAGTTTGGTACTGATTGTTTTTTGGATGTTAAAATTGGAAAACTCAGAAATACAGTGGTATATTTTGTAATAGTGGAAAAATAACTTGTGTGAATGAAATGTAAAGTGTTATCAACATGTTGGTGGCGTTTTTACAAAACTCCTTGTTTGGTTCACCTGTTCACTTGCAAGTAGAGAAGTGTCACTAGTGCTGAGTGGTGCCATTCTGGCAAACATGAGATTGCTTTTGCAAACTGGTGCTGAGGTCAGAACACAACTGGGTTGAGTCTTTGTCATTGGAAGCAGCTGCTCTGTGGTGACAGAAAGCCATATTAAATATCCTCATTAGAGTTTCTGTGCAACTGCTGTAGCTGTGTGCTCCCTCTGAACTAAAGACAACAGGAACCAGCTTGAATGCAGGTGATGAATGTGTAGCTGTGCTGTGAGTTATTAAAGACAGTTGAGAGCTGTCAATTGAAAATCTTGCAATCTTTAACTGTTCCTGTCTTCATATATCAGATTGTAGTTTTTAAGTGGCCTTTTTTTAGGGAAATGTTACATATAGGGCAGAAGGAGATTTAAAGGGTCTAAGTGAATGTATTGACCTGGTTCATTTTTCATGCTTTGAGTGACTGGTGGAGGCCTCTTGGATGATCAGAGTTCAGCAGCCAGGTTGTGTTTCTGCTGAAATGGTGAGTGGGCACTTTGCACAAGTTCTGTGCTTCCATTTCATAGCAGCTGCTGGAGCACATTTAAATACGTGTTTTAAACCTCTAAATGTAACATTCCTTTGTGTATTCTCCATGTTTATGCCAGTTTACTAATATAATTTTTTGTCATTTCCCCTTTTTAAAGGGATCTTTTTGCATAATAATTTCAAATAAATTCCATCAACAAAGAAATGACAGTTCTGTTCATCACAGCTTTCCTTCTGTGCATCTGAGTAGATACCAATGGAAGAGAAGAATTTAAAGGCTTGCACAGTGTGCTGTCACTGGATAGGGTCATTAATTTTTGTGTATTTGAGGCTGTGTTTTAATATAAGTAGATTCTGAGAGATCACAAGAGAAGCAGTTTGCTCATACATGTGAGGAGGGTAACTTTTATGGCTAATTTCACACAGTCCAAATTCACAGTAAAAAGGAACTTCCTGAGTTGTTTCAGAGCTTTAGGTCTTAGTTTAATCTTCCAACCTTTGTTTAAGGTGTCTGTGGTTAAAGTTTTGTTGATGTAGATTGCCAATAAGCATTTTCAAAGTCAGGGGTTTACATTCGGGCCTTGCCCATACAGGGATAATTTTGGGATAGAGTAGATAATTTGTTCCATAGAAATGTGTTACATTATTTGCCCTTCATTCAGCTGATCCCACCTCTCAGCAAAAAGGGTATTTTATTTTATCTTGTGAAGGGCAGGTCAGTTTGCTGAAGTTCATTTCCACTTGATGCTTGCCTGATTGTTTTCAAAAAAATTAAGAAAAAAAAAAAAAGGGTTTTTCTTGTGGTAATTTCTCAAGGGGTTTGTGTACAGGACTGGGCCTGAATTTCTTGGGTGGTTTGCACAGGTTCTTTGATAACACATCCCTAGCGATACTTGAAAGTGTTTTATAAAATGTCTTTTGTAGCATATGCTGTGATCTGTAATGCTTGTTTGTTTATTTTTCATTTAGGTATGGGACTTGTGTAATACTCATAGGCTAATGCTTGATTCTTAGGATTTCTTTATTTCTTTATTGTTTTTTAATTTTAATTCAGGTATTTTAATATCCCATTTTCCCTACAGATGTGTGGAGGAATTGATTTGCTCACTGTAAGCAAAATAGCTGCTCTTGGTCGAAGGACTGGTAAGTTGTTCTTCCTAATAACATTTACTTCTTAGCTTTTTAAAAAAAGACCTTCACGAAGGTCTGTCTTTGCACAAAATGATATGTAATGCCAGGACAGTTTTCTGTTTGTTTGGTTTTGTTTTTTTTAAATTAAACTGATAGCTGATAGACTTCAAATCATTCCTCATATAGTCAAAAAACCACAAAACTGGCAGGCTTGAGTAGAAAAATTAAAATTAAAATTAATAATTAAAAAGTTATCTCTACTGGATGAATACGGGAACAGAATCTTCTCCAGTTTCCTTAACTAAAAGGAATTTGGTCTTGACCTTTTGTTGTCCCTGGCACGTTTTGTGGCTTCCTTGGGGGCTGCCTGTGGACAGACACAGGTCCTTTTGTCTTTCTGGCTGCTTAAAATTCAAAAATGCCTTGATTCTGCATTTTTAATGAGGGCATCCATTGCATTTTGTGTACATGGATGAACTTTTTTGTGGGAAGCTGTGTTCCTGTAGCACTGTGCTTTGGAACATATGCATTTCTTTAAAAGAAGCAGTTTCTTAGAGCCAGTTCTTTCAGTCTGACCAGTTTTATCACTGAGTTCAGTCCTGAAGCAAAAGAGTGGAATTCATGAATTGGAGGAATTCAGTTTTTAATGCGTGTCCATGAGCTTTAGTTTTGATGCTTTTTGGCAAGTATTGAATCTCTTCTACTCCTGGGCTCTGTGAGTTTTATTACTTTGTTCCTTCAGAAGTCTTAACTGTCTTTCCCACTGCAGGTCTGTGTAGAACAGCATATTTCTTGCCATGTTTCTCCTTCCAGCTCTTCCTCAAAACTCTTCCTGTGCTATCCACTGACACCTTTCTAGTCCCCACTCATCTGCTCGAATCTCTAAAACATGTGACTCATGTTCCATTTTTATATTCATCTTCATATGACTCCTAAATCTTTCTGTGTGCATTTTTGTTTGTTTTCTCATTGGGTTGTAAATGAGCTGTTGTCACATCTGGTTTCTTGGGTAGGACTTTGGGCTTTCAGTTACACACCGAGTAATTCTTCCCTCCTTTTCTGGTTTATAATCCTTACCTAAGGAAGTGGGTGAATGTGGAAGCCTTAATTTACTTAGTGAAACAGTTGCCTACAAAAGAAGTTGCTTCAAAAAGCAATTGCAAAAGCATCCAAATGTGTGGATCCTGAAAGATCCAGTATTGCCCTCTCTGGTTAGCACAGATAATGTTTAGTTGAAGCCCTGATGTTTATTTTCCATTTTTTTAAGAGAAGAGGGAAAATAATCGAAAACACTTTATTGAAGTTGACATACTTTGCTTAATGCAATAAAGTTTATTATTTCAAAATAACACCCAAAAAAGAGTGCATGTGTGAATAAAGTCACATCTTACTGGGAATTCCTCTCTGAATCTGAGAAACCTGGCAAACAGCCTTAGCTAAAAATACCCAAACCTACCTGAGTTGTGCTTTGACTGCTGTGCTTACAGAACATCTGATGGTGGTAAAAGCAGAACTAGGGCTGTCCAGAGCACTCATGTTCTGTGCAGTCTCTGACAGGAACTCATGATGGACTTTGCTGTCCAGAAAGGACACGTCTGCTCTTTCCTCCGGTGTCAAAGTTACCAGGGATGTGTCTTTGAGACTAAAACCTTGCTTTAATGAACTTTGAGACATAGACCTTGAGGTTTGGTTTGTTCACAGCCTCATTCTGTCCACTCAGCTCCCTCTGTTGGAGTGAATTTGTTTCCAGGGGAGGTCACCTCAGTTTTTAAGTTGAAGCCTCAGATTTCACTCTGGAAAACTTGGTCAGTGTGTTGGTGTTTTATGTGTGGGTGTTGTATGTGTTGGATTTCAGTCTCACACTTGAGGAACAGAAGGTTTCAATAGACCTCAAGTGACTGAAGCCCTGGGTTTGGCCACCAGGAATTGTCTTTTACTGCTGTGGTCTTTTAATAGAGCAACAGAGAATTGCAGCAAAAAACTGAAGAGAAAAACTTTGTAAATTTTGTTTCAGAATTGTTGCCTTGAACCTTTGGTCGAGGTTGGGAATGGTTTGTCTCCCTTGGCAGGGAGTGTCAGTACTCTTTGTCATTCTGACAGGACTGCCCAGGTCCCTGATTTTATCGTGGCCAAAATACTGTGCTTGGAAACCCAACCAGGAGCTGGTAGATAACAGCAGCTTGAAAAATGGGCTGATGCCTAATTGATGTCACAGAAGGAATGAAAGACTCATGACAGCTAAGAAAAAAATTGGGCTTTTCAGTGTCTACCTCAGGTTAGGATCACTGCATGTGTCTTAGTGGAGAAAGATCTTTTTGTAACTTTATTGAAACTTGTTAGTAAAATGTGCCTTAATTCCTAAGGAAACAACCACTGTGAAATCTTTTAAACCAAATGTAGATTTCCAAAGTGTAGAGGTTGCCATTAATATTTTGGCCGTTCCTGTGGCATCTTTTTGATGTATGAATAAGTCTGAGAACAAGAACGTGTTCTTAATTATAACACATTATCAGGTCTGTTTATTGCTAATTATTTTACAAGGCTGAGAGAAGAGTTTGAGATGAAAGTTGTGGGGTTACTTGCAAAGTTTTTGGTAAAACCAATGCAGTTGAACCTGGTGGGGAAATTTGCCCTTAAATTGGTTTTGGCAGATCTCATGAGTGTCTAAGGCAGAGGCCAACCCAGCTGGAAAGAGCCTTTCAAGGGTGACTAAGATGTAACTAAATTACCTTTTTGGGAGGTGGGGAAAGCTAATGCCAGTAATTAAATTTCCTTATGTTAAGCTTATTAAAAATATAATAATATATAAATATTAAAATTATTTTAATGGTCTTCTTTATGGGTTTTTCACTGCGCTCGTGTTAGTACTTCTGAGTGTTTGATTGTGACAATAATGGACAGCTTTGTGGTGGGATTTTTTTTTTCATGTTTTGATACCTCGGTCAAGGCATTAACATTAGAAATCATTCAAAATTTTAATTCATCTTCAAACACCGAAAGAGATTTGAAATGAGGTTAATGAGAACAGTGGGGGGAAAAAAAAAACAAGCCCAAAGCCAAAACCACCTCAAAAACTGTTCATTTTTCCATTGTATTTTAAACAAGGAAGTCTGTAGAGCAGATGAAAACAGGACACGTGGGCAGGTGTGAAAGTCAGACTGGGGCTCATTGCACTGGTTCCAGTGCTCTTTGCTTCAGTGTAACTGGTCATTTTGAGATGAGAGTGGGGAAACTGGGCTGCCAAGGCAGAGACCACTGGCTGGCCCCACTGGTTTTTGCTGGGCAGTGGGTAATTTCTGCCTCACTTGTCAGAATCACCCCATGGTTATCAGGGAACTTCTAATTGTTTTTCCCTTTTTTATAGTTTTGGTGAAAGGGAGCACTGTCACCCTGGGAAAACTCCTGGAATTCAGGGCCCATTGTGACACTGCAGGTGTCACACATGGAACAAAAGGAACCCTGGGACGCTGCGGAAACTCATGGAACCAAGGGACCACTGTGCCATTGAGGGGGCTGATGGAATCAGGAGTCCATTGGGACAATTCAGGGCCTCATGAAATCAAAGGAATTCTGGGACACTGTCCAACCTCCTGGAACCAAGGGTTCCTGCTGACATGTGTGTCCTCCTGGAACCAAGGGAGCCCTGATATATTTCTGAACCTCCCAGAATCCAGGGGCCATTGGGACCCTGCAGAACCTCCTGGATTCAAGTGGTCCTTGTGAAACTGCAGGCTCTCCTGGAACCCAAGGATTCCTGGAACACTGCAGAGCTCACGGAACCAAGGGGCCACTGTCCCACTGCAGCTACTTCTGAAGCACAAGGGACCCTGGGACAATGGGAAATCTGGAATCCAAAGGACATTTTGGAACTGCAGGGCCTCATGGAACTAAAGGAACCTTTGGAGACTGTGGAACCCCATGGAATCAAGGGGCCACTTGGACATGTGGGGCCTCCTTGAACCAAAGGAACCCTGAGAATTTTTGGTGGGAACAAGTTAAGGCAGCAGCAGCTGCATTCAGTTAATCAGGATCCAAAAGGAGTGTTTTGGGCTTGACTGGTGTTTTCCATCCAGAGAGTGCTGTTTGCCAAAGTGGAAACCACTTGGAATGCTCTGCATGGGAGCCTGTGTTTTTCTCTGGTGGCTGAACACAGCCAGCACATGAGGGGAGGGGAATGTGTGGGATCAGGGCACTGCTTTGGGGCCATGCTGGGAATTCCAGTGGACTAAAAGACAAACCTCACATGCTGTTTTCAAAGGAACCCCAATGAAAGGGGGACACCGGAAAGATGGGTGGACAAGTCCCACAGTGGAACTCTGTGTGTGCAGCCTCATTTTCTCCTTCAGTGCCCACAGGAGAGGGGGAAAAAAGTGGGGGTTGGAACCCCTAAACTCTTCAGGGGAGAAATTGGGGATTGAGGGGACAATGGGAAAGCAGAAGGAACAGGGAGAAGGGCGGAAAAGGGGGGTGGTCTGGCAGGTCTGACAGTCTGATGGGGGTCTTTAGACACAGGGGGGCTGGGAAAGGGGGGTGGCCCCCTGAGCTCCCAACTTCCTGTGGGTGCTGGGGGCTGCTGGATCCAGTCTCAGCCACAGATTATGCCAACAGCTTCAAGTTAAAGGACTTACAGAAGTGTGACTGAAAAATTTCTGTCCCCACATTTTAATAATGGTAAAACAGATGTATTGATAGAAATGAGTTATTTAGAGTTCTAAATGATCAGACAAAAGATCTTCATCAGAATTATTTCCAGCACAACAGAAACACTAAAACTACCAGGAGTACAGCAGAAGATAGGACAGTGCTCTACACTAAAGCAATTGTTGAAGCAATTCTACTCAAGCTGGCACAAAAGCAATGATTCTTAATTAGAGATGGATGGAACTCCCCCAGACCAACACTCGTGGGGAGATCTCTGCTCTCAACCTCCAGGAGTGACCTTGGGGGGGTCCCCAGCCAAGGCAGGAGTCTCCACACACCCCCCAAGAAGGGTTCTGTTGGCAGAACCTTCTCCTAGGAAAGGGGACTGGCCCTTTGTGGTCGAAAGGGATGGACTGACAGTCACTGGACTCCAGGGGTTGCCTCACCATCAGGGGCTTCATTCGGGGTGGAAACAGCGGTCGAAGCTCTTCCCGCAGTCGGGGCACTGGTAGGGCTTCTCTTACTGGTGGGTCCGTTGGTGTGAGGTCAAGTTACCGCTCTGGGTGAAGCTCTTCCCACACTCCCCACACTTGTAGGGTCTCTCCCCGGTGTGGATGCGCCGGTGGGTGATCAGGGCGGAGTTCTCCTTGAAGCCCTTCCCGCAGTCAGTGCAGCGGAAGGGCCTCTCATCCGTGTGTGTCTGCTCATGCCTGAGGAGATGTGAGCTGGTCGGAAACCTCTTCCCACACTCCAAGCACTTGTAGGGCCGTTCCCCAGTGTGGATGCGCTGGTGTCGGATCAGGTGGGAGTTCTGCCTGAAGCTCTTCCCACATTCCAAGCATTTGTAGGGCTGTTCCCCAGTGTGGATGCGCTGGTGGGTGACGAGGTTGGAGCTGAAGGTGAAGCTCTTCCCACATTTCCGACACATGTAGAGCTGTTCTCTGGTGTGGATGTGCTGGTGTCGGATCAGGGTGAAGCTCTCCCTGAAGCTCTTCCCACATTCCTCACACGTGTAGGGCCGTTCCCCAGTGTGGATCATCTGGTGTCGGATCAGGCTGGAGCTCTGGCTGAAGCTCTTCCCACATTCCCTACATGTGTAAGGCCATTCCCCAGTGTGGATGTGCTGGTGGGTGAGGAGACTGAAGCTCTTCCTGAAGCTCTTCCCACATTCCAAGCACCTGAAGGGCTTCTGCCTGCTGGGAGGCTGCTCAGGGACCACCAGGTCGGAGCTCCCCCTCAAGCTCTGGCCGCCTTCCCGGCACAGGTTGGGTCTTTCCTCCTCAGAGCACCCTGGGCTGGATTTGGAGCCCCTCCTGCGGGGGGATCTCTGGGTCTTTTCCTCCCCGCTGCCTTCCTGCGCCGTGGAGCCCTTCAAAACGGCCTCTCCCACCAGGGTCTCACGGGGGGATTTGTCCTCCGGGCTCTC